TTTTCTGGTGAGCCTAGCCGAGGTCACCTTAAAGCCAGAACCACCTTGAAACTACTTTTGGTTGACCCCTACCTTCGTCCTGGCATATTGGCCGAGATGTCATTTTCTAGGCCAAGGTGTATCATCAAGGCCGAGAGGTGTATCATCTAGATCGAGATGTTATCTTTGAACCCAAGTGATCTTGTTCCGGATTGGTGCGACCTAGACCGAGGTGTGGCACAGCTAGGCCAAGTGTTGTCCGTCCTAGCCGGGATCATAGATACCTCACCTACCGGAGCCGATGTTTTCACCCGATGTCAGTACCTTGTCAGAATGCCATACCGCTTTACTTGTTAAACACCCTTTCGCCATACTTTGTCTGGTCTGTCAGCCACCTTTTCGGGGAGAACCAACCAGCCATTGCCACGTGTCCGAGCTGAATGTTAAATCAGCCGGCAGTAAGTAGAACCTATCATTTTTGTATCATATCTTTGCCTTGAGAGAGAGAAGCTCTAGAAGGAGTTTTAGAGTGAAAAAGTGGATCTTGGAGCTTGATTCTTAGAGATCTAACCGTTAGATTCGTGTATTAAGTTAGATTCTTGACCTACTCTTGTAGTTCTTGTTAATCATCTAGCTGCATTGCATGATCGAACCTGATTTGCAAGCCATGCATTGATTGAAAGTTTGGTTTTACAAAGAGAAAGTAGTATTCATGTGTTCTTGAATAAAAACCTTGTTTGATCCGAAAGTTTGCATTAAGATTCATGCTTTTGTGTTTGTTTTCATAGGATCTTCGAGTATGGGTACCCAGGTCCATGTTTTTTTAAATTCATAGCATGAAGTTCTAGATTTCGTGGTGACAAGTTAAGATTGAACATTCATGTGTTTCATGTTCTTCAGCAGAGGGAAACCCAGATTTTCTCGACTTCATTTCCTTGAGCGTGGCCACCGGGACCACATCTCGGCAAGAAGGTGTGGGACTCGGCAATAGCCTGGTTGGTACCCAGCATGTTTTTTCCGAGAGGAGAAATAGTGTTTTGTCTTGGTTCGACTTAGTTTTGAAGGAATTCCGAGAACATTTGCATCCATGTAAAGCTTGTTTGAAAGTGCATTCAATAGACCTTGCCATGTGTTTGTAGGACTTGGACTCTCGCTTGACCCCACGTTGAAGAACTAGGTGAGTGGTATTTTTGATAAAGTCACGTTATAAAGTTTTGATAAAGTTTTGCTTTGTTTTGAAAAGTATTTGCTAAGCATGAATGACTATCCTATTTGTGTATCAAGTATTAGCTTTGATCTTGACAATCTTGAAAGTCCGTACATGCTAGGGGACTATAAGCATTTGTAGCACAATTCTTGGAAGTCCGTACGTGCTAGGGGACTATAAGCATTTGTAGCACAATCTTGAAAGTCCGTATGTGCTAGGGGACTATAAGCATTTGTAGCACAATTCTTGAAGTCCGTACGTGCTAGGGGACTATAAGCATTTGTAGCACAATCTTTGTTAATGTCACCATTGAAACTTGAAAGACTTTGATTGATGAGGCTCGACAGATTTGTTAGATGAACTCGATTTATCCCACGTTTGTCATAAACTATGATTATGTATTGTTTTTTAAAGATCTCGGATGTCATACATTCAAACCCTTTATTACTTGTACCATTCACTGAGTATCCAAGCTCACCCTCTCTAATATATATATGTAGGTGATGAGCAGGAAGGCGGTGACGCCTAGGGTTGACTCGCAAGCTTGTTTTGGGTTTTTTTTATGTCGGCTGAACTTGTATTCATGTCGGCAGTCTTGAAAATTATGCTTCTCGGCTGATAATGCTTGTAATTTACATATGTCGGCTGGAGAAGCCTTTTGATCAAGATGTAAAATGTATTTTTGTACTTCATTTCTATTTGTATTCAAGTTGTAAAGCTATGTAAGGATGTATGCCATTCCATTTGACTTATGCACTGCTCTCGTGGACCACTTGTATTTTAGATTATTGCTTCCACACTTGTGAGCCCTATATATATTTATACTCTGATTGTGTGTGAATTTTGTAAGTTGGCCTTCGGTAATCTCGGATTACTGGCCATCACGGCACCAAACTACTAGGGGCGGTTTGGGGTCGTGACAATATCGCTCTTCACGCCACTTTAATTTACACTAGAGACAAATGAAGAGAAAAATCGGTGTGACGGGGAACACAATGCAGAAGCCCGAGATTCATTGCACTTACATGAAGCAGGTCAAGACGAATCAGGACTAATTTCTTTAAGCTTGACTTATTTTGGGACATTTAATTTAGGGAATCAATTTTGTGTATTTTATTTATTCGGGATTTCTTTCCTTTGTTATTTCTTAAGACTATAAATATTGGGATGATGGTTAACTAATTCCACTCTTGATTTAATTGATACAAATTGATAGTTTAATTTTCTGTTACAATTTGCTTTTGTGCTTTAGTTTGCATTTATTTTTCCTCCACCTTTACCCACAAACCAATGGTCAAATTGAGGTTATTAAACTGTAGCTTAGGTGATTTTATTTCGATGTCTCGTGGGTGGTAAGTTAGATAATTGGAATTTACTACTATTTGTGCAGAATTTGCTTATAACAATTCAGTCAATAGTTTTACGGATAAGAGCCCTTTGAGATCATGACATCATACCAGATCACTAGCACTTGGACCCTCATTATGAAAGAGTTCATGGTGGCAGCATTTGTCCACATCACTCATACTTGATTTCAGCGAATGGGTAATAAGAACATCCTTACTCTGAATCTGAGCATTTGTAAGGGATGTCACCTTCTCAGTATTAAATTTTTTTAGTTTTTTTTACAATGGGTGCCCACAAAAACGTATTTCTCAATCCTAAAAGATCTTTTATGTTCCATAAGCTTTGTGAACAACTAAAAGAACACAAGGACATACCCATCCGCACACGTGAAGTTCATTTATAATATATAAGTAACACAAGGTATAGCCAAATGGTAGACCACCGTCACACAAATAAAACTTACCACACCATACCTTGGGATAACAAGGGCAGGGTAGGGACAAGATGATCATTTGGAAGAGGGAGTTGCTCCTCTCACGATTATAAAAAATTTGTGTAGCTAATCTATTAGGCAACCATAGATATAAATCAAAATAAAATTTCATATAAAATATATTTAAAATAAATGGTAAACTCATCATGAGTGTATTAAAATCGAACAACTATTCATTCATAACTGGATACATGGCGAACAAATACAACTGTCAAACTCTCATATGTCATGCGCATTTCTTAAATATCCATTGTATCTTACGAATTCCAAATTACGAAAAATTTTCTATATTTTTTTTTTTTTTTTTTTGCCGTAACCAGTTATGACAACTACATGGCATACAGTTTCTTCGTTAGGATCTTCTCCTTCATATTAATACATTCCTATTAGACCGGAAGAATTTCGAAACCAACCATCAGGTTGCTAATACCGGTTAAGTCGTCACTGCCAACCTAAGATATTCCTCATTCACATGGTGTATTTTGATGAACCAATCAATAGTCTATTTTTTTTTATTGTATTATTACCATTTCTCAACATTACACCAATATACATTGCGAACTTATAACAATAGTTAAACAACCTCCCCT